ATATAATTCAGGGGTGTTTTAAGTATTCTTCAGGTCTAAAATGTGCATATTACCACCTTTGGAAGCTAGTCTAATCAGCTTTGCTAAGCAGCTTTGTGTGCGTGCAGGGTGTGCACAAAAATGTAAACAAGAAGGTCGTACAAGTATGTCCACTTCCCCTTCTGGATGTATGTGATATAGCTGTTAGGGAGGGGGTTCAAAAAACATTTAAAAACTGACATTATTTCAGTTGCAATTCCTGATATGATGTACCCACTCACCCTGCATTGAGATTTTCCAGCTCGAGGGACAACAATCTAAGCACCAGCAGACTGAGAGTTTCAGTCACTGGGGCTGGTCAACTAAGAAGGTAACCCTTCACACACACACATGGTAGCTGCCACTACATGTTTTAACAGAAACGCACCATTCAACACATCCACTTATGTTATTCTGACCTTAAAAAAAGTCTATTGCGACCAGATGAAGTCAGCTTCTGCTCAGGTAAGGTATTTGTAAGGTGTCCAGGCTTGCCATTAGTGTAGCTAGCACTAGGACTTTCACTCGATGTGCAGGAGTTGATCCTGGTTCATCAGGTCCTCCAGAGATGTATAGGAATCTTTTTTTTTTTAGTCATTTAGTGCACTGCCCTAACGTGGTGCACAGGCGGCTTATCACATCTGTGTAAAGCTGGCCATACGCTTTACAATTTTTCTAGCAGGGCTGAATGAGGAAAATAGCTTGATTTCCCTAGCCATGCTAAACAACATGGATAGACAAATCTGTCCTGGATGGCTACTGTATTCTGGCAGCTGGCACTAGCAGCTGTCAAACTAGGTGGCGCCAGCAGGGCCACTCAGGGATCAAATTTTAGTATTTCAGTCAATTCAGCAGGAACCTCTAGAATTGATTGATACTTTCTAATTAGAGCATCTTTTATGGCTTTAAAATCATCATCCGTCTTGGTTGGCAATTCCACAAAGGCCTCCAGATGATTTACAACTCATGAGACAACAGTATAAGCATCAGCAGACTGAGTGTGACCGTCACTAGGGCAGGTCACCTGAGCAGTTTAAGTAGTTGTGAACACATCAATAAAAGGCTATAGTAATGTAGTAAATACCCTTTTAAAAAATAAAGACGTTTATTTTTAAACTTTTATCTAGCGGTCACATGATTGCACATCCTAATTCATTACCCTCTTCAATGTAGTGGGGAGCATGTCTATTTATGTAGGTGGAGGGGGTGTGTATCTTATGTCTGTTTTGTATTGCAGGCTTATACACACAGCCGTGAAGTACATTGCCCATTTGTGTCTTTTATAAACAAAGAGGTGGGTGGTCAAAATGCGAGTTCACTTACACACAGGAGGGAAGTATATTCTCCATCTGTGGCTTTGTGTGAAGTAAGACTGAGCCCACATAGTGAGAAGAGCTGTCATTCAACAACAGCTCTCATAGATTAGTAGAAAATGCACACACCTACTTGGCATGATCAGTTTGAGACAGAAGCAACTTTTAAGATCAACAGGTATTTTAAAAGGAAAAATAACATTAAAGTCTACATATATGAAGACCTACATGAATAACCTAGCATATATGAGGAATTTTAATTTTTGGGGTAACAAACACTTTAAGCCTTTACACATACAAACAGCTGTCACCATATTTTTTAATGGAAACATGCATTTGCTGTTGTAAATCTCACCATAAAAAGTCTATATTTCTTACTTCTACGCCCAGATAGGAATGTAACAGAGTGTACACCTGTTACATTCTTCAGAGAGGCAGGGTTGCGTTATTTCTGGTCACAGCATGCAGAGATTAAGTTTAAGGCATTTCCTTTAAAGATATCTTTTAATTTTAAAAAAACAGTGCTAGAATTATGTACAGAAAAGATATTACAAAATAGACACGAGCAACAGTAAAATAAAAATGTTTAGAAGTGAAACTTACTAAAGTAGAATCCATCTGATCATTGGTATAGTGAAAACCCTTTGGCTGACAAAATCTTGCAAGACATAATGAAAATTGTAGTTTTGTCACAGCTGGAGGGCCAAAGTTTGGCTACCCCTGGTATAGTGCAATATTTGAATATCTTGTACATCCAGTCTGACGTGGCAAGAGTCACTGGCACTCATAAAGTGACTTTTAGTAATCTTAAGTAGTTCTGATGGTAAAACTAGAGCTCCTAGCTGATATCTTTTCATGCCCATGGACAGAGTGTTGCAGAGCTAACCCTACCCAATCAAAAGGTCTGAGGTGTGTATTGTAAGTGAGCTGGAGTATGGTTTTAATAACACCTATATGCTATTATACATCTAAAATTATGACCATTAGCTCTTTCAAGCTGCAGGCAATTCCCTTATAAAAGACAGTGACATGCAGCATCTGCTTTGCCATCATAGTAGTGCTTGTAGCTTAAAAAGTCTGTCCACACTTTATTGATAAACCACAGAGAGCCTTCCTATATCTGGCCGTGCACAGTAACACTCCCTGTTCATACTTTCTGCCTGTACACCCCAGCCGCCAAGCAGTTTCATTCCTTTTACTGTATTCACAATACTTAATAATAATACTCAGTCTTACAGGAGAGTGGGACTCTCTTAGAATGGTCATGGCAGGTGGGGCACCTTATAGTTCCTGTGTTAATAACAGAGCTTGTTATATTATATTAAAGTGTATTTCCACTTTTGCAGTCAAATTTGAGAAAACTCCTCTGTATGTTTGTTGTGTGTTCCCATTCACGCAGCATAATGAAAAATAATAAAAAAACATTTTTATTAATTTGCCTTTTAGATGTTTTGTTGCAGCAAGTAAGACGGCTAAATCAAGGTTTTTCTGAGCACCTTCACGGTGATCTATCCTTATAGAAATACTTAGGACTGACATTTAAGGATTGTGTTTCTCTCATTAACTTCATACACATACAATGCACAAGTCAGGGTTGTAATTCTTTAACCCTTTGTTAGGACAGGCAGTGTTCAAATTTACAAATTATAATGAATAAACCCTTCACAGCCCCTCCTAACATTACAAAGGAGAAGCAAGTAGAAATTGTAACCCTTCAGAAGCCAATATACACTAACCCAAATAAAAAGCAATTCAAACTGCAAGAAGCATTTTTAAAGTATTTTTCTTTAGCCTATGCTATGTGAATGGGAACATGTAACAAATATAAAATAGGTGTTATTCCAATTTGGCTGTGAAAGTGGAATTATACTTTAAGCAGAGGAAAACCCTAGTTTCAGTTTTGACATCTACTAAATCATTTTTGCACTTGTACTGCATGTAATGCGTTCTCCGTGCAGTGGAAATATTTGCTCCTTCAGGAACAAAATTCCAGACTAACATGAAAATCTTTTCAGGCTAATTTACAGATATTTAGAGTTCTTGTGCCCCATCTAGTGGTAAAAACAATAGTGTTTTATCACCGACGTCATTCTTAAAATCTTTATTACTTTAATTATTGGGATTGCACACATTATCTGTATTTGGATACTAGAAGATAGATAGATAGATAGATAGATAGATAGATAGATAGATAGATAGATAGATAGATAGATAGATAGATAGATAGATAGATAGATAGATAGATAGATAGATAGATCATTTTTGGGATCTGGGAAATGCTGACCGTGCAGTACACAGAAATGGACTAGGATCTGTGTTGAATGAAATCTCGCACACAGCAAGTGCTTTTGTTCCAGAGGATGCTCGCACAGCGCTTTGCAAACAATCCCAACTGCACATGGGATAATCCCATAGGGGAGCTGTGGATTTAGGATACCACCCGTAGACTGAAAGGAGCCAGATAACTGTACAAAGGAGCACAATCCAGTTAGATGCAACCTGCTTGTGCTACAAAATTAGCTATGGAGGATGCAAGATAGCAAGTCAGGGGCTTCCCTTATCAGATGTACACCAAGTTAAAATACCTGCTCATACTACAGGAGACGTTTATTAAAGTGTCAATGACACCCCAGATGCCCCCAAAGCAGTTATTATAAATACACAACTCCGTGCATTTAGATTTCATGCTAGCTTGCATAAAGCAAAGTGGACAGAGGTGGGATGTTCAACTGCAAGGCTCTCAATTGTACATGTGTTGTGTCATGATGGAAAATTAGTATCATCTGTCATTCTGCACATTAACATATTTTCAAGATCCACATTAAAATATCAAGAAATACTTCTGCACAGCCAGAAAATGTAGGCATATAAAGATTGCAATCATTTGAAACTGGAACAACGCAACATAGGCAATGCATGAAGTTTTAGCATGTATTGCAGCTTTGTAACTTTATATTATAAATAGAGTTGGTGTATTCTGTCTGTTATCACTTCTGCATGAAGGGCAACAGACATTTCAGTCTTATTATTCTTACATTCTTGTCTGTTACTGCATTATTTATATATATGTATATATATATATAATTCCCTCTCTCACACTTTAATACAGTTACAATCAAATCATATGTTTTTATTATCAGAATTGTATTTCAGAAGGATGTCAGTACTTCTGCCACACACTACCAGCTAGCAGCACGTTTAAACTAACATCCAGCCAAAACAATCTGGTGTGGTCTTATATTTTGAGCTGCCCAGAGGGAGGAGACAGAATACAACGGAAGAGTTAACCATTATCTGTGACTCTACCCCTCCCGTTAGGGGGTGGTGTGTCTCTGTATAGGGGGATTAAACATGTCACAACCTCTGCCCCTTATAAATCCCCCCGCCACTCTATAAACAGGTTGGGGGGGAAGTATCCACAGCAGTTGGGAGTTTGGAGCAGTTACTCTGTCCGTGGCTTTTTTGGGTTTTTTTTAACGTTTCGTTTTTCTTTGTAAGTTTTCATTTTTTGTTAGCCTATTTATTTTCACCTATACTTGGAATATCTTAGGTTATCATCTCCTTCATTATTGGGGGGACTTCCATAAGTATACTGGGGCATCTCCCACCCACAGTGTAAATTTTGATTTCTGTTCTTTTCCTCTCTGTTTCCACACTAAGCCCTCAATCATGTGGGAATTCCGCTCATTCTCCTTTTGGAGAGCTGTTTTTGCTGAATTTTTTGGTACTATGTTCTATGTTTTTTTTGGCTTGGGTGCATCTCTAAAGTGGGCAGCCGGCCCAGCTAATGTACTGCTTATTGCATTAGCATTTGGTCTTGCACTGGCCACCATGGTCCAATCTATTGGCCATGTCAGCGGTGCTCATATTAACCCAGCAGTCACCTTTGCCTTCCTCATCGGCTCACAGATGTCCCTATTTCGTGCCATTTTCTACATTGCAGCACAACTGCTGGGAGCAGTAGCCGGAGCTGCCGTTCTGTATGGTGTCACTCCTGCAGCAATACGTGGCAACTTGGCCCTTAACACGGTAAATACTCATCATGAGAAGTAAATTGTGTGAAGTTGTGCTGTATTCTTGCAGTGTGTTCACTCGTCCTAGTATTACATTACTTAACCTGTTTTTCTAAATTTCCATCTTTGAGGGAGGCTTTCTGCCTAAGACCACTGAAAGCACTGGTATGTCATGATAGTATGTCCCTTCATATACACTTAACAGCAGAGGTGCAGAAGGCAAAACGTATTAGCCACTAAAAGGTATTATCTAGACCAGCCTTTCTCAACCAGGGTGCCATAGCACATTGGTGTGCCTTATGGCATCCTCATGGGCACCTCAAAATTTTGTGGTAGTGGGTCTGTGATGTGAAGGGGGCAATGAAGACTGATGAATTTGCTTTAATATGAAAGTGGGCTTCTGATGTGAAAGGGGGGATCCTGATGTGAAGGGGGGGCAACTGATGCAAAGGGTGACTCTGATGTGAAGGGAGGGGAACTTGATTTGATGGGGCACTTCGATGTGAAAGGGTAGACCCACTTTTTTGTGTGGGGTCCCACTTAAAATCTATTAAATTTTAGACTGGGGTGCCTCAAGATTTTGCATACTTTTAAAGGGTGTCGTGACTAGAAAAAAGGTTGAGAAATGCTGACCTAGAGAACTAAGATGATTAAAAAATGAAATCTTTTGAAAAGCTATGTTGCATTTTCAGGCATAATGGCAAAAAAAGCTGAAGTAGCAGAGCACAAAATGATATGCATATTCTGAAAAAGGGCTTGTTCACACCAAGTGCGGAGCAGATGCAGAGCAGAGCAGTTTAAGAATGCATCAAAAATGCATCCAGTGTATTCCAATTGTATTTTGGGCTCTAGTTCACACCACGGCGTTCAGTTTCAGTGCATGTGGAAAAACTGCTGCATACCCTTATTTCTGCTCTGGAAAGAACCAAAACGCATGTATATTCATAAAACACATACAAGCGCTCTGGAATGCACTAGACCACACCTGAAAGCCCATTTTAAGCAAAAAAAACCTGCGCCGGAACATATCCAAAACGCACTGCACTGCAAGTGCAGAAATGCTGCCAGATCTGGTCCTGATCTGGTGTGAACAAGACCTAAAGACATTTATCAAAACTGGAGCAGACTAAATCTGGAGCAGTGGTGCATGGCAACCAATCAGCTTCTCTCTTCAGTTTGTTCAGTTAATATTTGAAAATGAAAGAGATAGGCTGATTGGTTGCCATGCACAGCTGCTCTAGATTCCCTTCAATGTATACATATACAATGGTGAACACAATAATAAAAGATGGCATGTAAATAAGTTAACTACAAATTGACAAGATTCAGAGGGTCATTTATTAGCATTGTATTTAAAAGTGACCTTCTGGATTGCCTTGATTTGTAGCTTAACATGGTTAATTTCTTTTTATTTCATTTTTTTAATTATTATTTACATGTTATCTGCATACAGTGACTCCACTTTAGCGTTTATCTGCCGATATGCCTCAAGAAAGAACCTACAGTTTTGAGAACTTGTATTTTTTTTGTCACTATAAGTTATTACTTTGACAATACTTTTTGCCTTCTATATCTGTTTTGTTCATTCCTGGCTAACACAGTACACCACTTTGTTCGCTAACTTTACAGCACAAATGCTGTTGCAGTAGTTTATACCAAGTCAGTTCAGATAGCAGATATGGCTGTAAGAATCAGGCTTTAGGCAATAGGCTACAGTGGAGTATTGGCAGCTAAAGCCCCTTTGGATGTACAATCGACAGGTCATGCAGGTAAGTGAAACACTCCACAAAAGACAAGTTACATAGAAATTAAAAATCAAGTTACATACTGTACATGGCTAGGGTGTTATCTACATAATATGTACATATTTGACATTGAAATAGAGCTATCTGTAAAAAATAAATCCAAGCAACTGGGCTTGCTGTATTTTTCTTGAAGACGTTTCGCTGGCTATCCAACTAGCTTTCTCAATTCAGATAGAGAGCATTCAGAATTGAGAAAGCTAGTTGGATGACCAGAAAAACGTCTTCAAGAAAAATACAGCAAGCCCAGTTGCTTGGATTTATTTTGTACAAATATACCGTGACCTGGATGAATGAGAACCTTCACAGACACATTGAAATGTAGAGATTTCTTTTGAACTCAATCCTCTAGCACATTAAAAAGAATACAGCAGGTAGGATAATTATATACTGTATATTTATGTATATATTGTATATATAGAAATATATAAAAAAAAAAATATATATATATATGTCACAACAACAAATAATTGTCTCTATTTAACTGCAGCTAGATATCAGTTAAAAGATATAAAGACACTTGTTTCAGCCATAATAGAAGTAGACCTTGAACAGTTCCAGTGTTTTTTTTAAATCATATTATTGTTCAGTTCATTTGTGTTATTATAGACTTCTCGGTAGATTGATCAAATAAGCACACTGAAGGGAGAACACTTAAAATGATAACTATTTGCCCTTGTTGGTGACATTTCATACTGCACATATCTAAAATAATACATCTATAATTAAAATGTATACTAGACTCAGCGTTTTGAATGCATAATCTGTTTTATAATATTTGTAAAATGTAATTATCTTTCATTGACATTTGCTTGAAAAGATCAATCATGACAGATTAAAAGCGTATTAAAACCAAGAACAATATTTTATATAACGTAACACACTTCCTGTCCTAGGGTGACAACACTCACCCTCTGCAATATAGCAATAAAGTAACAGTGTTGTCACTCTAGGCTGCTCCCTCCTGGTTTGGAAATCTCTACATTTCAATGTGTCTGTGAAGGTTCTCATTCATCCAGGTCACGGTTTACATAGATGTAGGTCATCAATTACATAGATGTAGTGTTCTGCAGCCCACAAAGGAGAACTAGGAAGGTGGATAATATTTGTTTGAGATTTAAGTTCAGTGCATAGAATGTTAAAAAGGACTATGGATCTCTGGCAGGATAAACATGTAATTTTTCTCTACTTGCAGGAAATGTACTTAGCCCGGAAAAAAAAGGAAAATTAGGCACCACATCTAAGGGTTGCTAAGCTGCAATAAATACATTTTTTGTTCTTGGGCTTAGATTTTTTTAAAGGAAAAATAGGTGGTTAGTTGTGTTATATGTTAGTGTCATTCCCTTATATTAAGTCGTTATATCTAGTAAAGCTAGAATGAGAAAAACAATAATAAGCAAATCATTTACACATTGGAGCCCATAAAGGTGGCCCTTGACTTCTCTTAGTGTAGTACAAATTATTTGTAAGGTTTATCCTAATAAATGTCAAACTATTCTCTGCCTAAAGTGTATTTCCACTTTTGCAGTCAAATTTGAGAAAACCCCTCTACATGTTTGTTATGTGTTCCTATTCACACAGCATACTGAAAAATAACTTTAAAAAATGAATTCTTACCTATTAGATGTTTTGTTACAGCAGGCAAGATGGCTGATTCCAGGTTTTTCTTAGCTCCTTCACAATGATCTGTCCTAATGGAAAAACTTAGGACTGAAATTTGAGAATTATTTTTATCTGATAAGCTTCATTAGCCACCTCAGACCCCTCATCCATCACATCCCCTCCTAACATTTCAAAAAAAGAAGCCCTAACCCAAGTAGAAATTTTAACCATTAAGAAGCCAAGATACGCTAACCCGAGTAAAATTTAAATTTCAAGAAGCATTTTTTATTTTGTTTTTCTAGCTTATGCTATATGAATGGGAACATGTCACAAATCTAAAATGTGTTATCCCAACCTGGCTGTAAAAGTGGAAATACATTTAATCTACAGCTGATTTAAAAGAGAAATGACAAGTGCCATATATAAAAGTAGTAAAGCACAGCAACATGTATGGTTTAGTGCTACTGCAGGGTCTGTTTTAAAGTGTACCTGTCGATTCTCTAAAACAATGCCAGCAGCTGCAGCCTGTATTAAAGGATACATACTTAACGTTATGATGAGTGGCATGTCCATTCTTCACCGATGCTACCCAACACTTTTGGGTGTTTCGGATAGTGTCCGCTGCTGGGCACTGTGGTTCCTCTCGCTGGCTCGCTGAGTCCTTTGCGATGTAGCAGCTGGTGGCAGGAACTATGGTGTTCAGTGGTGGACACTCTATCTTACACATGCAGAAGTGAAGGGTAGCCATGGTGCAGAATAGACAGCCCACTCGCCAGAAAGGCAAGTATGTAACCTCTATAAAAATATATTGATAGAAATTTGCACACATTAGGTGTATCATAAGGCTCCTTCAGATAATGCAGCTAGTAGGATTTCCAGATTCATTATTGAAAGTAAGTTCATAGTAATGTGCTATAAAGACAACCAGCAGTGGTTTATGTATTCAGCAACTTTATTGCCAGCCAGCCAGCCAGCCAATGTGTTTAGCCATTTAACATCCTGTCACGTGCTGTCCTCTTTAATAACATTGTTCCTCTCAAATGACCCAGTATAGTTATTTTATTATATACAGTTACTAGATATGAATGACTGTGAGCGATCTAACCCAAAACTTTGTCAGTAAAATTATGATATAATAATAAGGGACAGTGCATCACATTAAATGTAAGGCCTGGTTCACACCTGGGCGATTTACAGCGCTGATCGACGCGCTGTAAAACGCTCAGCATGTGAAAACCAATAATTGCCTATGGGCATGGTTCCCACCTGGGTGTATTTCAGCGCGTAGTAACACGCTGAAAAACACCCTACGCCCAAAGTACCGGAGCTTCTTTGGGGCGTATTTTCCGCGCGTATCCATTAGGATACAGCCGGATAGCCCTCGTAAACACGCGTTTGTCACGGTTTTTCTTTTACCGCAAATCGCTGTAAAAACACGCGGCACGAAACGTGCGGCAAACGTGCATATTCCGTACGCCCAGGTGTGAACCCAGCCTAAAGATACATCACCACACCACAAATGTACTAACGTTGTTAGCTATTGCATATACAGATGGAGTGTTTGGGGGGTGGGCAATTATATCATCCTTTAAGATCATTATTTAATTGTATTATTTACTTTTTTGAACTCTGTATTTCATGCCATTATATTAAGGTACGCAATAGCATTAAGCACAGCAGCAATGTACTTATTATAATACTATACTTATAATATAATATAACAAGTATATATATATGTAATATATACTTGATATGAAATGCTCATCTTGGTCCAAGAAAGTATATTATAATAAACGTTAGTAAGCACTTGAACAGAAACAGCAATAAAATGCAAGGCTCAAACATTCTAGTTACAAGCAATGGTTTTCCAAAACATACTCAGACGGTAAAATGAACACTATGCTGCTTTTACATTGCAGTTCAATTTTAATTCAAAACATTTTATGCATTCTTTTGCAGAATGACACTTAGTTCTTTTACAATTTCAGTTTCCATAAAGCAATGAATAAAACATACATTTCAGTGGAGTCAGGACTGCTCAATGTCAAACTGCAGCCTTTTATTCAAATAGGATTTGTTAGCACCTTCCTATTAGTGCTAACAAATACTCTTTAACTACATTTTACCCTGCAGTCCCCAAAACTAGATTATACAGTACATGCAATAAACAACAATTCTGGATTAGAACAAGTGTGTCTTATTATGCATGTACTTAAAATGCTTATGCTGTCTCTGACCTTACTTTACAGCTCCATCCTGGGGTGAGCCTTGGCCAGGCAACAACAGTAGAGATTTTCCTTACACTTCAGTTTGTACTCTGTATCTTTGCCACATATGATGAAAGGAGGAATGGCCGTTTGGGCTCCGTGTCTTTGGCCATTGGATTTTCTCTCACCTTGGGACACCTCTTTGGGGTAAGTAATCAAGTATAAAATATAGTAGCAAACTATAATATTATCTCTGTTTGAAATACTTTTAAGGGAGAACTCTTCTCCGCTCCAGCGATGGAATGTCCCTCGGTGTCCTCACGTCCTATACATTTTATTCGACATGATGACTCACACGACCTTAGACCGCTGGAGCTGAGGGGAAGCGAGGCTGAAGGGAGCGGTCAAAGAGCGAGTCAGGACCATAGTTCCGGGGAGTATAACTCTATTATTTTAGCTCCCTAGACAAAATGAGCACTTAAGCCTTGCAGTGCTGGCGTAGCCCAACTGCAAGGGTTAAGATTTGATTTGATTTGCACAATGTTGAATATGTTTAAGAAAAAAAAAAAAAAAAAACATAGTTAAAGAGGCCCTATACTGTGTGAACTGGTCCCAACAACATCCAGAAAAGGGCCAAGGACTAATCACCAGTACTGCCTTTAGGTATCCTGTAGCTGATCATTTCCCTAAAGCCAACTTGCCATGTCTTATTCCAGTATGTTGCCGTATGGTAGTGGCCATCTTAAAACAAAAAGGAATAGGGCATTAAATCCTCATGTCAGACCTGCCTCCCCATCACTGCTACTCTAATAAACTAATGGTTGGTGAACTAATGACTAGATGGGTAATGATACTTAATGGGCAGCAGAAGAGGTGAAAGAGCCATAGAAGATCCCTAGACAGCACAGCAGGAAGGAGGCCTCAACTGGCAGCATTAGGGATCTGGTAGAGAAGCCAGTGCAAAGAGATTCTTGCACTGCTGGTACAGTTTGTTCTACAGCTGGCCCTCAGAAGAACAACAAGCAGCACAGTAGTAACATCATCAACTGTCAATGTGGTGCTCAGAGAGGAGTCCCAAATCTACGGAGATTAACAATCATCAGGGGCAGAGTTGACAGGATACAATTGGATGACATTACACTGCAGACAAAGGAATGCCTAAGCACCGCTTAGCCATAATTAACCTTACCAGATATTCCCTATAATACAGCAAATGTTCACTTTTTAGTGAGGTCCACTTTAATTAAAATCCCTAAAGCAAAACTCCAGGAAAAACCTATTTTTAAAAGTTAGACTGCAAGGGGTGCACACATTTTATTAGTAGTCTGTACCACATACAGTGTGTCCTTTGATCTTCTAGGAGGTGGTTCTGCAGTGACTTCCTGTCTCTTACAGTGAGCATAGAGAGTTGCTCACTCTGCACCCACTCTACTCATAAAACACCTTGTTTTCTTTTCAGTTAATACTTACTAGATTATTTTAAGGATCCACATAGACACTAATATACAAGAAATTATAGATTAACTGGCTATATATAATCTTAAACAGAATAAAGTGATCTTGACCTGACCTAAAAGGTTTCTAGGGTAACATTATTACAGAAGTCTACCTTATGGTGTCTGCATGTACCTGTGTTAGTACCATGGGGAGACCCTTGGATCTTAGGCCCAGACTGTACATAAAAAACAGGATTTGTTTGAAAGATGACTAATATCCGAAAATCTATTTAATTGATAGCAATAATAATTTCATGCTTTTGAATAGTTTCATTTAATGATAATAACTACATAATAAATGTTGATGGGCCTACTTAAAAAAGACATGGTACAGTGAGATTTGTGTGCGATTTTCTCCTAATGCACATTTCTACAGGATCTAAAAACTAACTGGCATATTTACAAATGGTGAACTGATCATTAAAACATTTGAAGAAGGTTCCATATGTTCAGTGTAAAAAAACAAACATGCCAAACTGAAGAAACCTGCAGACTAAGGCAGAAGAAACGGAAGCTTATTACAAATAATTGTGCTCTACACTGCCATAGTACTGTACTAACCTTATAATGTTTTTGTTCTCGGAGTCCATGTTCACTCACTTATGAATGTGGTGTACTTCAATAAAATACAATAGGGATGGCTAAAAATTGTTATAAAATGGTTAAATGGGGAAAACTGAAAAGGTGCTGACAAATTCCCCTTGTGAACAAAACCATCAAACATTTGTAAGGATAAAAAAGTTCCTAAAAGAACAAAAGTTCACAAAAATAGGTGCATACACCTATTCAATCTTTTATAAACAGACACCGAAGTGTCCATGACTGCACATACATATCTATTAGGGGTTCATTAGTAATCTCTTCTTTCTATCAGTAATATCAATTTAATGGTGGCAATAGACAAAGCAGTTATACATATGATCGTATTTTCTATACACTTTCCAACTGGGATAAAAGATGTACAATCTTTTAAGCACCAACGTGGAGAGAAAATTGCCAGAAGCAATTGGTCCATATAATCCAAATCAATTGGAAATGATGGTTCAGGCCCCAAACAACCTGTTACAATCCTATGTGACAATCATTTAAATAAAGAACATTCAAGGTGCCATACCACCATATTACCAATCTGTCCTATCATTTTGCCTACTTTCATGCAATAGGATTTTCTGCCCAGACCAATCATAATAATTTCTATGGAATCGATCGGATTTGATCTAAATCGATCAATGATACAGTATAGAAAGAAATAGAAATGTAAAGAATTGTTTAACCAGATCTTTGCGTGTATGTCAATGAGGAAATAAGTCAATGAGGAAATCTCTGGCTTAGCTGAATGGGTAAAGTTTGAATATAACATGGGTGCAAAAAAATGAAAAAAGGGCCTCAGTCATGAAGGGGTTAATACTTTATCTGAGCCAATCTAAGCACTGTATTGTCCATCAGATGGCCATGCATTAAAAAAAAAACAACAAAAAAACCCCTAAAATCTTTGGTTCTAGAAAAATATTACTCCGCATGGTGAGTTGTCATTATTTTGTCTAATGACACATTCGATTTGATTAGATTCAAAGCATATAAAGATGGTATGTTTGTGTGCTCACATGTGAACTTTTCTTATGTCTCTTTAGTTGTATTACACTGGTGCCAGTATGAACCCTGCAAGATCATTTGCTCCAGCAGTACTCACCAGAAATTTCACCAATCATTGGGTAAGAAACTAAATTGGCATTGTGTATTTTTTTTACAAAACACTAGATACCTCCAATAACATTTTACAACGATTAAAAGTCACAGATATATGTTCAGTTGCCAAATAAAACACACAGATAGATTAATAGATAAAACACTAACTAAACTATATCTAAAGCCAAAGCTTTTTAAAGTCCAATCTCTGGCTGCTATGCAGTGGCATAACTATAGCCTGGGCTGCTATGGGGCATGGGGGTGGAAGTGGGCCCTATTAGGTTGTTAAGGCAAATTAAACATAGAAAATGTGAAGACCACGGAGTACTGTATCATTAGGGTTGGAGCGTTGCAGGTGATGACAACCCTAATCCTCTGTAAAGTCTACAGTGTAGGACAGCTGACGTGTGATGCACAAGAGGAGTCTTTAGGATCTTGGTGTCGTTAGTCACAGCTCAGAGAGAGGTCACCAGGGCCCCCCCATTACAATTTCACTATGTGGCACTATGATTTGTAATTATGCTCCTGCTGGTATGCTAACCCTGTCTGACACTGCCACCTTTAAGTCACCCACTCACCGATCTAGCGGCCCACCTGTTTATGGGTGAATGAGGCCCAGAGTTATTCAACCCACTTCCTGTGAGCCTTGGGCTTTATGTCTCCAATCCACACCTGGGACTCAAGAATGCTGTAGTGAGTGGCACCATGTCATTATGTGGCACCGTTCTCTGCAGCATTCAGAATCCACCTACCACGGGAGGAAGAAAAGGCCAAACAGGACCTGTGACATATTATTTAGTCGGAGAGGTGCTCCAATGAGAGGAGGGGAATACTGAGCCTAGAATTAGACTTTGAATCTTAAAAAAAAGAGTAGAGAATAGGTCAGTTTTTTTTTAACTTCCTGTCTTCAGACACAATAGGAAGTGGGAGGAAATTTTTGTACAGCAAGGGACAGGCAGGAAGTTGTTACTAAAACGAGTGTCCACATTGGAAGATTTCACTTATTTGCATGTCCCAGTGATACCTTTTGAATATTCAATTTCTGTTACTGTGACAATGGTCACCAGGATAACTAGAGAGGGTAAAGCTTCCCAATTGGGACACAGACTGAAATATTAACCTGACATAGGTTCTAACCCTTACCTACTTTATATAAAAGAAAAAAACATGTTTGCTTTATATTCATGTTAACCACTTGAGTCCCTGGGACTTTTTCTTCCTAAATTTCCCAGAGTCCCTGAGTACTTTTTTTTTGTTTCGCTGAAGGCTCGTTTCCACAAATTATGTTTACTATACCCCAATCTTTAGGTCTACCCTTTATCTTGTAGTCTACCCTAATGTATTATACATTTTATTAGGACAGATGGGGCTTTCATTTGGATACATATATGTTTATCTCCTTTTTTTAATTTGGAATCAAAAGTTAAAAAAAATGAAAAATACATTTTCCTGTAAATTTTCCTAGGGTTTACATAATTTGTTCACCCCCATATATTTACCACAAAATATAATCAAAAAACATCTGTTAATCAATAACAATAGTGTGACTTTTATATAATGTAGCAGAATGATAAAGCTCAAAGTGAATGCATGTGTTTTTTTTACTTTAGGAGAGCTTAATTCCCCTAATGGCGCTACATTGTGATGCACACAGGGGAACACAATGGTCAAAGTAAAATTATGATAAGATTAATTGGGTTGACAGAGACACAAATTACCACAATAATAACTTTTTCATAGGTTTGCAAACGCAGAAAATGAAAACGACATTGCATTCGCTTGTGGTAGTAATTGATACTTGCACAGTAAATGTAAATGTCATCCAGATCACCGGACATCATTATTGCATTCTGGGGATAATTTAATTATATATATATAATTATTTTTTTACAACAGCCAGCAATAGATCACTATACCAGTGATCTACTGCTGTAGGAAGAGGTTAGACAGAGCTGCAACAGATCTGCTTGAGTCTCCTCACTGACAGGAACACGAGTGACGTCACCAATGTAAACCCTATGTGGAAGCATGATGTTAACATTTGCTTCTACAGGGCACTCCTATGCAGTAGTGCTGGATGCTGGCTGTCAATGACAGCTGGCAGTTCCAGCATGAAACCCTACCGGGAACTGCTGACTTCCTATGCCATTTTAAAATGGCACTGGGGGCTCAAGTGGTTAAGGACTCACTATATACATTCTCAGACTTTTCATCCATCCATCCTTTGGCTTCCCAAAATGCAAGACCCACCTCGACCTAACCACTGAACCATCACATTCTCAAATAATTCATCCCCACACAGCTACCTCCTCATTTCCCCCTCCTATTTTAGATTGTAAGCCCTCAGGGGCAGGGCCCTCCTTACCATCTTGTCTTGAATTGTATTGTAAAGTCTTCCTTATATTGTAAAGCGCTGCACAAACTGTTGGCGCTATATAAATACTATGTAATAATAATAAGACAAAAAACGGTTAGATTGATTATAAATCAATGCTTAAGCCATGACAAAGCAGTGGAGATCTAAGATTATGAATTGGGGAATGGCCCCTACTGATACTCCACATTACTGGTCATAAATGTATATAGTGTAATGTATAGTATAGTGTAACAACAACAATCACAGAGTGATATTGGTATGTTTGTGGAAACCTTTAAAACAAGTGTAAAGCAGATCTTAACCTAATCACTAAAATCTCATATGTGCTTTAAATGATATCAAAACCAAAAATGTAATATATTGCAGCTTACCAGCTCTTAGATGTGATGTCTGCATTGCAAATGAATGCAAACTGTCAGGATATATTCTTGCTGATAAATTACTTCCATCCAATGTTCATTTGAATGTTATCATAAAAGTACATAATAAAAGATAATATCCATAACCTTGTAGATCTCTCCAGACTTGAAATCCTCGTACAACACTGTAAAACGGATAGACAGAGCACTGGCCTTGTGTGATATCATCAATCAAACTTTATGAAAATGTATAACATTCAACTTGACTTTAAAAGTTAAAGTGACACTAAGCTCAGGAGTTAATTCTTATAAATACATTCAAGTACCTTAACTATTAACAAAAATGTATCTAATTTGTGTGTCACTCAGCCGTAGATCCTCAAATCATCTCTGAATTGTTGCTGACACTGTCCTTCCTTCTGGAGGGTGGCTACTTTTGTTCCCCATGGTCCCTGTGTGTGTTGTAAAGTAGTCACCGCTCCAAGCTCACTCCCATGATGGACTACAATCTCAATACAAATTTGTAAACTAAATATGAGATTTGAGGATCTACAGCCGAGTGATACACAAATAATGTTCAGTATTGTTAATAGTTATGGTACGTGAATGCATTTTTAGGTAGAGATGCACCGAAATTTCAGCTGCTGAAACATTTCGTGCAAAATGCCCAAAATACAATTTTTCCCCAAAAATGTGGTCTATCCCCAGTTTCTTTCCTCTTCGCAAGGCACTGCTCTGTGTCCCCTCCAACACAAAGCAGCGCACAGCAGTGTCAAGGGAGGCCAAGCTCTCCTCCTGCACCATCCCACTCAGTCTCCTTTAACAAGCAAATCAGGATGGAGAGCGGTGCGGGGAGGAAAAAGCTGTCACAGAAGGCCTAGGCGTCGGTGTTGGGGAGGAGTCAGCTGTCAGCGATGTCACAAGAGGCTGAGCTCTCCTCCACGCACCGCCCGCTCAGCCTCCTGCGACAGGCGGATGAGTCAGGATGGAGAGCGGTATACAAACACTTAGCTGATTGCTGAGGGTTTGGAAATAATTGAGGCCATAGTATGCTTACTCTGTTCCCAAATATAAATGATTAGAAAGTACTCTACATAACTTCCTGTTCATTCATGATTGTGGACATACTAACTATATCCACAGTTTATGAATGGACAGGAGCACTCAGTATAGAAGCTCCCTGTTCATTCATAACAGGGGCTGCAGAAAAAGAGATTGAAGACTCTGTGTTCTCATCCTCTTTTTCTATTTAAAAAGGGAAATATCAGGGGTCTGTTTAGACCCCTGATATTTGCCCAAAGCCCCTAACAGTAAAGTAAAAAAAAAAAATTAAATATTAAAAAAATAATTTTAAAAAGGTTAGAAAAAAAAATTTGGTTTCAGCCTGACAAATTTTTTTATTATCTGTTTCGGTCTGAACATTCCATTTCAGTGTTCCTTTATTTGTAGGATTTAACTCCTGAGTTTAGTGTCACTTTAATAAATACAGAAAATACCTGTTTGACTGCCAGAAATGCAGTGACCATGTCACTTCCTCAAAGTCTAGCTTGGGTAGTAGCCATGACTCTATGGCAGTGGAGGAGTGAGTGTAGCCACCCAAGCTATTTGTAGGATTGCTGGGGATAATAAAAAAAAAGTCTGAACAAAAAAAGAAAATGAATGCAGCTATCTCATCTAAGGACTGGTAAGCTGTGATAAAATACATTTTTGTTTTTCGGGTGATATGGCCTTTAATGTTAATGTAATTTGAAAAGATGTTTCAATCCTTATAAATTTGAAACTTTTACTAAGCGAACAACTAGTGCTCCACAATGAATGTTCTTGTTGGGGCACATCCTTTTAGATGGTGGTTCCCAGATGTGTCTTATGTTGTCACCTTGTCACATGCGCTTCTGGTGGAGACTACAAGTGGCTGTAGAGGCACACACTGTGAAATCTGGAAGTCAGACCACAGTATTGATGTGCAACTGATGTTGAAACATGTGCACATAGAGAGAAAGTAACTGGAGAAAAGGGCTGAAAAAGCAGCATTCTGTTGCAAAAAGGGGTAAAAATTGTATTTTTATAAAAAAAGTAGCAATTATTTATATTTCACAGCGCTTTAGCAAACTAAATGTCATCCTGTTAGGGTTTAGATCTACTTTAATGTTGAGGAGTAAGTAAAGTGTATGTAGTAGACATGTAAGCTGCAGATTTTTTTTTTCCATTTCTCATATTTCGTTATTTCAGGATCCGGATCCGAAATTCAATTCCGAATTTCCGTTAGTTTTGGACGAGTTTATGAATATTCGTTGCGAATACCACAGAAAACCATTTACAGATATTATAACTAAAGCTGGAGCTCCTAGACCCGAATGGCATTCGGGATCCGAATTTGCGAATTTCCGAATACCATTCGGGAGCTCCAGAAAGCAATATGGGTCTGGGAGCCATATTAAAGCTAAGGCTTTTAGACCCGAATGGCATTCCGGAGCTCTCGATGCTATTCGGAAATTCGGACTTCATTCGGTCTTGGAGCATCAGTTTTAGTATTATGTTTTGTAATAAGTAGTATTCTATAATACGAACGAATATTCCTAGCAGCAACATTGTGACCCATATATACATAAAACTAAAACTGAGGCTCCCAGACACAAATGGCATTCGGGAGCTCCTGAATTTAATTAGAAAATACGGATTCAGGCCCATTCAGATGCATTAAACCGAAAAACACATCTGACTGACCAGAAAAGTCTCATGTCCGATTCAATTTCGTTTTTGAACAAAATTCGGACGGGATCCGAAATTCGGAAACGGAAATACTGATTTGGATGCATTTGGATGTATTGGGATTCGGTAATTCGGATGTGTCCGAATGTCAGAATTTCGGAAAATTCATACGAATTTTGATTTGGAACGAAACAAATCACACATGTCTAGTATGTAGAAATAAGACTTTGTAAGATTTTCATTGGTCACAGTATTGTAGAGTAAATAAGTGTAAAATAAAATGGCATTTTCAGAAAAAAATGGAAATCATGTCTTAGCAATTTGATTCTCGTGTTTCTCTTCTCTGCACAGAAGGCTGCATTAAAGATGAACTTTATCCTTATCTTTAAAATGACAACTTTAGAAATGTTGAGTGATGCAATATACAAACAGATACTTCTACATAATTGCAGGCTTTTATTCTTTATATACCTTATTTCGCTTTTCCTCACCACTCTTCTCACAGTGGCCATGATAACTAAGGGCAGATTACTAGATCTCCCTTTACTTCCTGGAACTCTGGCACATGTGACTAGGACATGTGACCGTGCACATCATCTCAGGGGAGGAAAATGCCATTCTCTGAGATTTTGCAGTTTACAGATGAGATTTCCCAGCAATGCTGTGTAATGTAACCTTCCCAGGATGCATCTCTTAGGCACAGGCTCCATCAATACCTAAGAGGACCAGGGAGTAGAAAAACAGTAATTGTAAGTAAAAGCATAATATGTTTGTTTTTTTAACAGTATATCAAAAGCAAATTATGTTTATTTAACTAATGAATGTAAGATGATTTAATATCAGCATGCAGAGCTGCATGCGCATGTGAATTTTAGTGAAAGAGAGTAAAGGTAGCCTTTAAGATTTTATTAGCAAAATTACGCGCTGGCAGAGTTTGATATTTCAGCACAACTATAAAAACAGTTGTTCTATATTATCCTGCGGCATACTATTCGACTCAGATCTCAGACCAGCAAGTAATCTAGGCTATGGTGGTCCGCATTTTGTTTGCTGGGGGACCGTGGTAATCCCTCCTATCGAAAAACAGAGATGCGTCCAAACTACATAGAAAAAAAACCTAATTTTTTTAAACTCTCCTTTAAAGGAGAACTCTATCTTCTCTAAAAATGAAACAAGCAATCTTATTGTTATATAAAAAAAAAAATTAATTTCAGTCTGCAGCACTTTGGATTTTCTAATAATGGCAAATAAAGATAAATATTATTTCCTTGCAATATATGGCCAACTGGGAGTGTTCCATATAAAGTTTGTGTACAGAACTCCTCCAGAAGGCTTCCTATTTTCTCTTCTCGTGATAATGGAAGGGAACCCTCCTATTCTCTTAATCAGTTTGAGAAAGAACATGGTAAAGCAAACATGAATTTCTGCAATTCAGAGAAAAGTACAAATCTGCTAAAACATTTTTTAAACCCTTACAATGTAATTAGCTGGAATTGTACTTCATAATCAAATGCCCGAGTGTTTAATACTTAGACCATTTTTACAAATGTAATATGTATGCTGGTTGGTGGACCTGCATTTGTAAACAAAAGAATAAAGTTAGTTAATAGAAAAAGAGAGAAGGAAGCTGAATGGTGAAAACATAAAGTGTGTGAATAGACAGTATATACCTAATTCACAATTGTTTTCTTTATTATTCCTCTTATATGCAGGTCTATTGGGTTGGCCCTATCATCGGCGGAGCACTTGGAGGTCTTGTGTATGACTTTATCCTCTTTCCAAGAATGAGAGGGCTATCAGAGAGACTTTCAATCCTTAAAGGAGCTCGACCTGCAGAGCCCGAAGGCCAGCAGGAAGCAACGGGAGAGCCTATAGAGCTGAAAACACAATCTCTATAAATAAAACCTCTGCACAATTACATAGTGACACACAAACATTCACACACGCACACAATTTGGGCCTAGTTAGCGTAATATCCGTCATGGGAAGTGTGTTGGGGGGTCGGGTTATACTTTGAAAGATGTTTCTTTTCTTACCAGGCTGTGGTATTGTGTTGAAATAGGGGCAGAAGGAGCGGTCAATGTGCTTGATTTTCTCATCAAAGTTGGGATGGGGGCGTTTGAAGGGGCCAAACAACTCAGGGGCAAAAAATATTTATATCACAGAAAAAGGTATTTACAGCTCAAACGAGAGGGATTCATCCTCCCTGCCACAAAAAATAATAATGTAGCACTGAAGTTGGAACCATATGGTAACGCAACTCTTAAGTGCCTTATTAACGTGTCGGTTATAGGTATTTAATTAGACGTGAAGGTCCCCTTTAAACTTCCCACCCACCCTCCTAACTGCGACTCTAATGCTGCTGTACATCTCAGACACATTATTTTCTTTATACTGCGTTTTACTTTTTGCTGGTTTAAGGAAATGTTTTCTTTTTGTGTTTTAAGAGGGTGGAGGAGAATAATGGGCCAAAAACTCTTTTATTTTACAATGAACTCTATTAAAATATTCTGTAGGCATCTCGTAACAGTAAAGGAGTTAACCCCATTAACTTATACTTATGAAATCCCTTTGTGTGGAAATGTTTGCCCCATAATCTTTAACATGAAGACTTCCATATTTTATGCTGCTCAGGGTTAGTGAATCACCCTGTTCATATTCTTCCTTCCATCATGTAAGGGACAAATGGGATAAAGGACCCTCGATATGATTGAATGGCAGCTCCTTATTTCTAGAAAGGCTTGTATGGACATTTCATGTGTGGCATTTGTCTGCTTGCTACCAGAAATCTGCCCTTTATCAAATGTAATAAAACAAAATCTATAACTGGAAAAATATGTCAACTGTCTCGGGTTTATCAGATCCAGCGTATCTCTTTATCAAGTTATCTATTTTAAAGCTGCTTTCTTATACTGGTAATTAATTAGAAATTACTTTTTAGTATGGAGAATGCAGCCAATTTTTTTCCATAATTTAATGACATGTTTCTTTAATTTGATTCATGTAGCTAATATTATTTGGTTTGATCATAAATGCAATTAAAACTTGGGCCAGGGTAAGTAGGTGTGTCTCTTAAAACTGAATTTCAAGTTAGGTATATTATTTATGACTAAGCTGCATTGTGTTTAGGTCTGATCACATTGTTCATTACCTTTCTTAGCCCAGAAATCTACTTTGTGTTACATATTTCCTCATTAGTAAGCACCCAAACAATGTACATCTATGTGAGTGACATATATGTTTAGTGAATGTGAGGTAACACACAAATGGTACTTCTGTTCTAAATATATATGTAGGCCAGGGTGCACATGTCAGTGAATAGAAACCTTGCAGAAATATTGACATCTGGCACAGAGTGAAAGGTTTTTAAATACATGTTAATATTTCAGTCCCAAAGTGGCTCTCCCAAAATTTGGAGTCAGCATTAATGGAATTGTGCTGTACCTGGTGCATGCAACAGAAATGGGTTGGATTGTAACAGGATAACGAATAAATGTCTTCATTCATATGACCTGCTTCATGTCCATGTTACACCCCTTTTTGGGCTTTTGAGGCTGCAACATGTTTGAACATTACCTTTTGTTAATGTAGACATAACCACTGAAGCCAGTATAGATAGCAGTACACTTACTCCATTATTATAAGGTTTACAATCAATGTGCAGGTCTACACGGCATGATGCTAAAAATATTAGATAATTCTCCACATTAAGATGAAATACAAATGATTTATATGAACAATATAATATCGATTATTATGCCCAAGATAACCATGACAGGGGAATACTGGTAAATAAAGTGTCCTTTGAAACTTAGTTTCATTAGTGTTGATCCATTTTTTAACTATATGGCTCTAGTGGCAAGGTTTAGGTTAATATGGGTTTAAAGCTGGAGGTACCATATAATATGTCCTATTAAAATGTAACCAAGGTGCCTCACTGCTCTAATGACAAGTTGCATCTATGGATGAGTCAGTGTGGCACTTGTGTATATGGGGCTTGGGTGGGTGACAAACATCTGCTCTGCAAGTGAATCGGGAGTGAATGTGCAACTTTCACTTCTGCCACAATGGGAATATTATGAAATAATAATGTAATTAGGAAGTATATACCGTGTGGAGGTCAAAGGCTACATTGTGTGGCTTCTACGTCAAGGAATCTTACGCCTGTATGGCACTGGAAATGATTGCAATGCCAAACGGAACAGGCCTCACCTGTCTGCAAATTTTGAGATTTGCAAAGCATGCGGTGCATATTCAAGCACAATACCCTGGTATTTTCACTGCTTTGCCGTGGACGAATTTAGTACAACGAATCTTAATTTATCTTAGTTTGCTCAGTATATCTTTCAAGTTCTGTCTAGTCTCTGCCTTTAGGAGCTTTGCAAATATCAATGGCAAAGGGAGTAAAAGCAAAAACGTGACAAAATATGTTTATTTTTAAGTAAATAATAATACATTCAACACCAGGAAACACAGGTACAGTTATTCCATCATAATTAACTGCATAAATAATTTACTTAATTATAAATTAATTTCAAGATAAAATGCGATGTTTACAAATTTTAATATGTATATAAGTATAGTTCATTTTTGCATTCTTTCACTGTCAGTGTGGTCATTTGTTCACAAATTATGTATGATAAATAACTTGTGGAATCTCATTAAAGCTGATTTTGACTACCTTCATTGAAGTCATATTAATAAACTATGTAGAACACATTAACCTTTTCGCTGCCAAGGCCTTTTTCGCGTTTTGTCCACATTTTAGGCCTGAAAATTATTTGAAACCCTCAAACATTTTATATTTTCTGAAAGGAAAGATCCTGTAGAATAAAATGGTGGCAGTTGCAAATTTTTATGTTGTACAATATTAGCACAACTCTCTCTTTATCAAACCCAAACATTTAGTAAAAAATGCACTTAAGTTAATTTTAGTGACCAAAAACACATCGATTAACCGATTAATCAAACTTAATAATCGGCTAACTAATCGATTTTGAAAATAATCGTTAGCTGCAGCTCTAAATAACATACATATTTTTTAAACAAAATATTAAAGATGAGGTTACGACGAGTAAATAGATACCCTACATGCCCATGTTAGAAATTGCGTGCGTCTGTGAAATGGCGACAAAATATGCTACCCCAAATTGTCCATAGGCAACGCTTTAAAAGCCCGTACAGGTCACTAGTTTAGAGACATCCATGAATATTGGCCTCTATTATTGTTGTCACTCTGGCGCACATGGCATTACCTAACATGTGTACCACGATCGTCGTTTTCGTAGGTAGTCGCACCCTATGCGTGTTTACATTAAGGCGGGGACTTTAAAAAATATTACAATTATTTTTATATTTTTGTATTCAATATTATTTTATTGAAACTTTTTTTTTTTTTTACTTTACTTAATTGCTATCACATAAGGGGGCTTACAAGCCCCCTATGTAATAGCACAATGTAGGTGACAGGTACTCTTTAAGGTGACACTAGGGGTCTAAAAGACTCCTGGTGTCACCTTTCCACTCCAAATAAGCTAGATCATGCTCCAATAGATTATTGCCTGGCTTCTGCAGCTGAGCAATAGCAGCTAAGGAACTGGAAGTGATGCAATCAGAGTTGCTTCCGGTTCCTTACAGCAGGGAGGAAATCGTTGAATGGTTGTTCGCCGGTCTCCTCCGCAGCTTCCTGCCGACACCTGACATGCCGATCCTGGGCCCACAGGAGCGGTAGCTGAGCCAGGGAAGCAAGACGGGGTGTCGGGCGGGGGTAGGAGGCACACTTCGTCGGCCACTGGAATCGATCTTGCGATGCAATCATAGTCTGTTTAAAGGTACCCGCTGCCACCGACGCATGAGATATATGTCCGTGGCAGCAAAAGGGTTAAATGCAAAAAATATAATGAAGATAAAATAAATGAATACTGCGTAACAGTCTCTAATGACCATGTCAGCCTGTATTTCATTTATTACATGATTTAGAATTAGCAGAGGTATTACATGTACATGTGTTATATTACCTTTCATTACTGGGGATATGCCATATAAATATGTAAATATTAAATGCATATGTATATATATGTGTGTGTATACATACACACACATATACATAAATATATATCACAAATATACTAACACATACACACATACAGATATATGTGTTTATTTTATCTGCAATAACTACAACCGCAATTCCAAAAAAATTGGGCGCTGTGTAAAATGTACATAAAAACAGAAAACAATGATTTGCAAATCTCATAAACCCATATGTTATTCACAATAGAAAACATATCAAATGTTTAAACTGAGAAAATGTCCCATTTTAAGAAAAAATAAGGTAATTTTGAAATAGATGGCAGCAACATGACTAGGACAGGGCTTGTTTACCATGGTGTAGCATCCCCTCTTATTTTAACAACACTTTGTAAACATCTGGGAACTGAGACCAGATGTTGGATTCCACACGCTCTAGTGCACCCTTATAAAATCAGAGATGCAAACTTTTGAACTGAGCGCTGATAACAAACAGGAAGGTCCCTCTCTTATTTAGTCCGGAGGGCGCATCGCCCATGGTTGCTACAGAGAATAGCTTTGTCCCAGAGAAGACAGCAGTGTTTCTGGATCATGTTCAGATATGGCTTCTTCTTTGCATGATAGAGCTTTAACTGGCATTTATGGATAACACAGACAGTGCTTTTGGATGTATTTCTGAGCCCATGCAGTGATGTCCATCACAGAATCATAAATGTTTTTAATGCAGTGCCATCTGAGGGCCCCGAAGATCATGGACATCTAATATTGCGTTTCGGCCTTGTCCCTTGTGCACAGAGATTTCTCCAGATTCTGGGAATCTTTTGATATTATGTAGTGTAGATGATGATATATTAAAGTTTTGGCAATTTTACACTGAGGAACATTATGCTGAAATTGACAATTTTTAGATGCAGCAAGGCTGGGGTGAAATTGCCTATCTGCAAATCTTGTAAATTGCACCTCTGTCAGTGAAGTAGCAGAGGGGGTTGTTAATCAGTTTCAGCTGCTTTGGTGTTAATGAAATGAACAGGTGCACTAGATGGGCAACAATGAGACGATCTCCAAAACAGGAATGGTTTTACAGGTGGAGGCCACTGACATTTTTTTTCCTACTCATCTTTTCTGACTGTTTTTCACTAGTTTTGCATTTAGCTA